CATCACTCCCACTTCCTTCTATTTAGTTTTATTTTCACTCCCTCACTTCTTTGCTTTGTAGTGTAGTGTATTCAGGATAGAAGCCATTTTTGAAGTGCAGTTAGCTTTGATCGGTGTGGGTGTTGGCGAGTGGAAAGTGGGTTCCGCTTAGTTTGCTATTGGGGTTGGGGGTTGGGGGGTTGGGTGTGGGGGTGATGGTTACGGTGATTTGGGTGCCGGATGTAGCCGAGCTTAGCGGAAGCTTGGCTGCAACTGTCGTTGTCCCTGTCCCTGTCCCTGACACTGCTGTATCTCCCTCTTTCTATCTACATCTATGTGCTGTCTCTGTCTGTGAACCTAACATCCGCCGGACAATTGATGAAAGCTTTTGTTGTTGTATGCAGAGTGGATTCCAGTTGGAACTCCAGTGGCAGTGGCAGTGGCAGTGGCAGTGCCGGCTCTCGTCCGCGTCCGGGTCCTGCTTCTCGGCCAAGTTTAGAGCAAGTTCAGCTACCATTTGCCGTGTGGAAAACTTTATGCAGTTGACAGGGAATAGAGGGGGGAGAATACCATTTTTATCCAAGAGGTCCTGCGGATCGTCGCCTGATGTTTTTCGTTTCGTTTCGCGCCAGCAGCAAAGTGCAGAGCTCAAAGTTTTGTTTACAAAGTTTTCAAATTTTTGTGGCACTGAGTTGAACTTCCGCTGAGGCAGCGACGGCGACGGCGACAGCGACCCTCCAACTCCTCCATTCCCATTTCCGGCTGCTGCTGCTGTTGCTGTTGCTGTTGCCGCTGATGTTGATGATGTTGGTCCACCGTTTGGTGCTGTCCTGTCCAGGAAGCCAGATCCTGCCACAGCTGGTCTTCGATTCTTAGTCATCCATCATTAGCCAGGGCAGTCAACCGCCAAATGCCGGCCACAATTATGTGGCAAGTCTATTAAATTTCCATCAATTTGCTGAGCGGCAGCTAAATGATGCAGAAAATGCAATGGAAATGGCTGAAAAAGCGCCCCCGGGGTGCACGGGATGGGGTTTGGGGGGGATATGGAGTGGGTGTAACACTTACTTACGCGCTTATTTGCCTGCACTCGAGAAAGAGAGAGCTTCAGGACATATAGAGACATCCTGCGGTGGCTTCAGCTCCTCTTTCTGCTCTTTCAAGTTGTCATTGCGCGTAAAATTATGTCAATGCCTGTCAACTTTTCTGTTCCGAGGAGCAGCTCCAAGTTTCCTTGAGAAGTGCACCCTGTAGTGTCTTTGAGAGTGCATTGAGTGAACGACTGGAAGTTTTCCCTCGGCCCTCCCCCCTTCGTAAGAGTACTATATGCTTTTAATATGTGTGCGTTATTGACTATGCATAAAGTGCATTTCCTGAGCTGCTCAGAGAAAAAGAGAGGCAGACAGACAGGCAGATAGAAAGAGGGAGGGTAGAAAAACAGTTGCTGTTCCTTGGGGCGGGCCGGAAACTTTTTTAATTTAATGTAAAAATTACCGAGTCAGCCTCAAACATACAACATATATACGAAAGGACGAAGGATGGAAGGAGCGTTGCAAAGAAGGAGTCTGCTTCTCCCTGTGGAGACCAGAAGTCATTTAAATGCGACAACTTCGTGGGTTGCAGCTTAAGGCCACTTTTTCTCCAAATTAGCCTGGCTAATTAGCTATATTTTTCTCCGTGAATGCGGCCCAACTGCTTGCCACGTACTCCCCGGTTAAATTTAATAAGTTTTTCGCTCGCCAAATTAGTGTGCTGCCTGCCCCATGCCCCATGCCCCTCCCCCCGCCTGCTGCCTGCCTGCCTGTCACTGCTCCCATGCATGAAATTCCGAGTGACTTGCACCCGGGAGTCACCCCAAGGAGCTGCCTTTAATATAAGTTCTGAAACCCCCTACCCCAGTTGAAGCTCACAAGGCGCTTTAGATGTAGTCATAATTGTAGTACTAAACACACTCTATGTAAATATTGTATGTAGTTTAAGTTTTCTGTTTAAATTCCTTTGTTTAACAATGCACCAAGTAGCAGAGGCACTTGTAAGTGGGTCGAAAGCTTAGCAACAATAGTACTATATGTGTATATATATGAACTACTTAACTGAACAATCAAAAGAAACCGAAAAGAACTACTTTTAACGCGATATGTCCCCACAACTGACGCACTTTTTCCCTACTCCCCCACGAATCAATCAACGACACACACACACAGACACTCACACACACACACACGAGGATACCTAAGTATACTATCTTTTAAAGAAAAAAAAGTAAAAGAAATATATATATTTTATATACTTATATCAAACACAACTTATATGATAAGTGTCTACTCTTTTCCTTTTTTCGTCTCTTTTTACGCTCTGACATTTCATTTTCCAACCAAAAACCACCAAACCAACCGCCAACCAATGCGCATTTTAACCCAACCACTACCACACGCACACCACCACAATTGTAATGTGAATCCACCAACACCACCACAACCAACTGAACAATACAACCACCAACAACAATCCCCACCACCAACAACCAACCAACCAACCAACCAACCAACAAAAAATCAGAGCGTACCAGTGCTACGCACATTTGGCGGTCATCACATCGCGTAGCGGGAGCGGGAGAGGGAACTGGTGGTTGTGGCCAGCGCCACAGCAACAGTTCCTCAAGGAGCACCACTGGGAGCCACCAGCTGCTCCTCATCGACAGCCACGCCATCGGGTACACCGCCAATGCTGCCACCGCTGCCCAATGCGTTCATTGCCATCAAAACGAAGTCCGAGTGCAGCAACAGCAATCACAGCTATAGCCATAGCAACAACAGCAACAGCAACAACAGCCTCACGCTGCACAGTGGCAACAACAGCTTCAAGTCGAACGGGAACGGAAACGGAAATGGCAACGGCAACGGTAATGGCAACAACACGAACAGAAGATCACCGCAGCCACAGCCACCGCCGCTGCCGATGAAGAACGGATCCAAGCAGCAGGTCAATGTCGAGTCGCATTATCAGCATCTCAGCTACAACGCTGGCCCACACTTGCCACATCCCAGTGGCACCAGCACACGCAACACTCTCGATCGCAAGCAGCAGAGCGGAGGCGACTACTGCACCCAGATAAATCCCCACTATCTGCAGACTTTCGATAGCCTGGATCACTACAGTGTGGCCACCATGCAACAGCAGCCGCTGCGCAGCCAGTCCAAGTCGCAGATCTACAGCTACGGCAGCAGCGGCACTGCCAGCGACCACTCGAACCCCCAGCTGCATGTGCAACAGCAGCAGCAGCACCACAGCCTGAAGCACACCAAGCACGGTGGCAAGGGGCACAAGAGCGGCAAGCATTGCTCCAAGAATGGAGGCAGCAACAGCAAGTCGCAGGACGACTTCAAGGCCATGCACAAGCAGCAGCAGCAGCACCAAAAGTGCAACAACGGCAACAAGCCAATCAAGCGGAATGGTTGCAGCAATCAAGTGCTGCCACAGCCGCCTCAATTGCAGCAGCAGCAACACTACACGAGCTCCAGTGATAGCCTACCATTTGATAATAACTATTATTAGGCGCACACCCCCAACACCACCACACCACCACACGCACAAGCACACACACACACAGCTACTGTAACACGTAACACTAACACTAATACCTACACATAGCTCTGACTGCGGATGGTACAGGGTGTCCCAAAAGTTCAACCCTTCTTAGGATATAACTATGAGAATTGTGGAAAATCGTAGAATGTTAAAGGGGGCTCTCTTCTTTAATGATTTTCATTTCAAATGGCATTGCTGGTTCTATAGATCGCATCTGAAACTGTGGAATCTGTACCAAAATCTTTCAAATTCAGCAATTTTACACTGTCCAGTCTAACAAATATGACTCAAAGTTAAAAAAAATTCGAAATTTCCAGTCCGCTAGATACACATAACTATGCTCTCTTCGAAAGTATCAGTGCATTTCCTAATTTATGATAACAATTACAAATTCTCTACAAATTTTTAAAAATATTCAATCACCACTAACCATCAAAACTTCTAGTGCACCTAGATTTTCAATCATTTTTGTGCCTTTATTAGTAACTTTTTACCAGGAACCTACAACAGACAGAAAAAAGATAGAAAAATCTTTTATACAGAAGTAAAACCATTCTTACCATATTTTGTATGGTTCTTCCCATTCTTCTTCAGATTTGGGAACTTGGTTGGGACACCCTCTAAACGTCACACAACAATCAATGAATACACACACATAGATATAGACACTGTAACATCCTGTAGAGGTTCATCAAATGCTCTAAGTACTGCAGTTGATTGATAGAGATACTCCACACAACCAAGCTGAAAACCCGAGCTGTAATAAGGCATTCCCTAGGCCCCCCGTTCCGGATTTATGATTCCGATTTCAATTTGTGGCATTTTGTGGCAGCTGCTACGAAATTCTTATATGCAAAACGAGTAAATAAATGGCTTATGAAGAAGATATATATAACATATATATGTATACATATATTCTTCCCCAATTGTTGAGCTCGGCAGCTGTTTGTGTTGTTTGTTGTTTCATTAAATTAAATATTTAAATAGTCTATAAACTAAATTTAGTTGATAGGATGAAAAACAAAATGGAAATTCGCAAAACAGTTTACTGTTTAATGTTTAATGTGTATATAGAATGGATAAGAGCCCAATATAAAATAGTTATGTATTTATTTTAGATGTAAGCTATGTCCTCCGCCCCACCACCCTGCCCAGCCCCCGCCCACTGCCCCCAAAGACCGCCCCAGTCCTCTCAGAAAAGCTCACCAGCCACAAAGCACCAAACCCAAACACGAATCGACAGTACTCTGTGTGTTTTCTGGGCTCCAACTTGATGCTAATCAGATTTTTTTAATTTATTTCATTAACGAAAAATGCTTGAAATATCTGCCAACAACAACCACACATTCAACAACTACAACAACAACAACCACCACCACACAAACAAAATACAACAAACAACAACAATGCTTACACCACATCCTCCCAAGCAGTCCACCAGCCACGCCACAGCCAGCGGCCACGATGAGCGGGGCAACCTTCTCTGGCAGCAGGAGGCCTCCGAATTCGTGGAGCAGTTCCCCACAGATCCGGTGCGACGCTGTCCGGTGCCGCCGCTGCGCCACTGCCACGCCCATGGGCATGGCCACGCCACGCTAGGCAAACGCAATGCGGATCTGTTTAGCGGGGACCTCGGTATCCCGGAGATCAGCACCCATGTGGGCAGCGTGGTGCACACGTTCGAGACGCTGGCCCTGCAGCGTCGCCTGGCCGAGGCCGAGCAGGAACGGGACCGGGACCGGGATCGGGACAGAGAGCTAAGTAAGTACGAGCCGAATGGCAATGCCAATGGCAATGGCACCACCCAGAGCAAGTACAACCAGCTGAAGCGCCGCTCGCAGGAGATGCGACAGCGCCTCATGCAGCAAATGCACCGCCAGAAGCTGCAGCAGCAAGCACGAACACGGGCACAGTCCCAACCACAAACACAGGCACAGCCACAGCCACAGCCTCAGGCACCATTAACCAACAGCTGCAGCACCCAGACCCTGGCCAACGCCCACCTCAGGCCGCATCGTGCCCGCTCCACGGAGCAGCTGCAGCACCAGTCCACCTTCGAGGACTACCGTAAGAATCTGTTTGGCACGCTGACGCGGCCCAGCAGCGTGGAGGAGGAGCTGCAGGACGAGTCCTTCATCGTGAACGCCGCCTTCGATGAGATATTTGCCCGCTACGACGATGACTCCTCACAAGAGCAGGAGGCAGGTGGCATGACGCTGACCAACACCGATGACCTGTTCGAGGACGAACACATGCTGGTGAGCCTGAGCGAACTGGACGACGATGTGTTTGCCAGCAAGGCGCAGACAGCCTCGACCACACCTACCACGAGTGCAGCGGGGCGCACGCCCAAGCATAGTACTCCCCAACTGAATCTCAACAAATATCCAGCGCCGGCTCCACCACGGTCCCGGACGCTGACCAATCTCTTTGAGCGGCTCAAGTCGGAGCAGCATCAGCGGCTGCAGAAGTATCCCGCCGAGTCGCAGCTCCACCAGGCGGCCGACTTCAATCGTGGTTCCACGCTGAGCAAGTCGTTCGTGCAACAGCTGAAGCGACCCTCGCAAAAGCAGAAGCGGGCGGCCCCCAAGCCGCCGCCCAAGCCCAAATCGCGCTCCCATGTGGCCATCGCCCATGTGACACCACTGCGGCACGCCCTGATCTTCCCCAAGCGCTCCAAGTCATCCAATGAGCTGCTGCTGGACGATCTAAATGTGCAGGCGCGTAAGTATTACCGCAGGACGCCAGAGTTGAGCGCAGCGCTGTAGTGGATCAGGTGTGAGCACAGAGTTATGCACCCATCACGCCTCTTCACCTCTTGTTATCCTTGTTAACGCTCGTGGCTATAATGATTTCCTTACCATCTTCTTTTACCAATTAAATATCCGGCAGAGGCGACGCTTTTGTAGGCTAAGTAATTCCCAAAAACCCAACCCAACCCAACCAAACCAAGCCCCAACCCGACCCGACCCGATCTGACCCTCAATTTTAAATCTGAACCGCAAACCGTATCCCGAACCCCGAACCAGATGTAGGATGAGGATGAAGGAGAGAGCAGCTAACCCGCCGCAAAACCGGAACAAAAAGTATAGCTCGAGAGATGTGAATCGAACGCCGAATCCCAAAGAGCATTGAGCCATAACTTGGAATAGGAAAATCTTGTCAGCACTCGTAACACAACAGGAGAAAAAACTAATTTCGTAAATTAAAAATTAAGTGAATTACATTATTCGAAACCTGCATGAAAATCAAATCAAACGATGACTAACATATATGAATATATACATAACTACTATAGCATACATTAATTATTGTACAAATAGGATCGGATAGAACCGAAATGAAAATCAAATGGGAAGTAATTGTGCTGTCAACCTAAAGCAGGCACTCGAGTTTGTCTCTTTTTCGTTTGTAATTTCATCAATCAGAACCGATTATATACATATATACATTATATGAATATGCATATACAACATATATACATATATATATTTAGCAAAGCATATAACTACGTAATTTGTTGTAACTTGTAGGATAATTACAGAATCAAATCAAAACAAATGTAAAACCAATTACGAGAATGAAACATTACTAAATCTTACCTGCATGCAAATAAACAATTAAAAGAGTAACACAAAAAATGCCGTAAGTTATTTTTAATTAAGTAAAACTGAGGGGTGCCCATGGCACAAGGACACCGGTGCAGCTGGAAGAGGAGTGTGTGTCCAGTTGTGCTCCAGGAATACAAATCTGCGGGTGAATAAGACTGTTTAAAACGCCAAAGTATCTAGAAAGGTAAAGTCCACTCACAAGCAAATGATGCCACCGATTGTCTGGTATTCCTCGAAGATCTTCAACGATTGCTCTGCCTTGAGGCGAAAGCCAGCCTGGCTGTCATAGATACTAACTATTCCGGGCAAACGTAAGGCCTCCAGGTTATCTTGGATTATTAATCCAAACGATTTTAAAATATTGAAAAAGGAAAACCAATCACTGAGATCCTGCACTAAACTAAATAGAAATTCCAGCATTAAAAGACGCCTAAAAACTATCAAATGTCCCTTACCTGGACCAGTTTCAGTCTCTTCTTCGTGGCGCATCATGTGATTTCTAAGCTGAGCCGCTCGCCCGAAGGTTTTCGGGCAAAGCTGGCAGCGATGCAGGCGCTCATTCGAGTGTATTCTCTCGTGGCTGCGCAGCACGCCCAGCTGGCTAAACGTTCGCTGGCAATGATTGCACTTGTAGGGTCGTTCGCCCGTATGGGTGCGAGTGTGCAGCTCCAGCAGATAGACCCTGGAGAACTTGCGCTGGCAGACGGTGCAGGTGTGCGGCTTTTCCTTTGTGTGCTTGGCGGTAATATGGCGCTTCAGATTGCTGGACTCCACGAATCCCTGGCCGCAATAGTTGCAGTGGTGCTGAATCACTTTAAAGTGTCGCTTCTGGTGCGTAACCAGTGCTCCGTTTGTCGTAAAGGTCTGTGGGCAATCATCGCAACAATAAGGTCGCTCCCCGGTGTGCAACCGCAGATGCTCAGCCAGACTGGTGGCCGACTGCAGACACTTGCCGCAGTAAATGCATCTATGCCGTCCGCTTTGGACCACCAATTCTGTGGAGCGATCGGTGCAGCAGCTGTGGCTTTTAAATTCAGCGTTATCCGTGTAGAACTGACCACAGTTTTTACAGTCATAGATGGTTGTAAGAGCATGGAAGTTTTTTAGATGCTTGCGTAGGGTGTGCGCCTGCTGGAAGACCGCACCGCAATTGTCGCAGTTGTAGCTGGCAGAGATAAGCGACTCCTGACCAGCATCCTCTGCTGTCGTCTCCTCCTGCTCCTCAGTTGGCACCTGTTCTGCATAGTCGATGGGATCACATACAATGATTCCCTCTGTCAGGTAGTCCTCCTCCGGCCGAAACACCTCCTGCTCCCCCTGATATTCCTTATTTGACAGACATTCTTTCTCCTCGAGCCTCAGAGCATTTCGTGCAGCGTCTTCTTGTAGTCGTATCTGCGTCTCGGCGCACTTTTTGCGAAACTTGGCCGTGATGAGCAGCTCCTTGGTGCACTCCTGGCACAAATATTTGGGATATTCATCGAGACGTTCCACCTGCAACCAAGGAAACTCATAAGAAATTCAATGGACCACCAAACCGGTCAGTGAAAACTCACTTTGATGTTACCACAACTCTCCAGCAATGAGCTCAAGTCCATTTGAAGCTCTTCCACATTCTCGTAAATGTCCACTAGGAGCTCTTGTTGTTGAAGGCACACCCGACACAGAAATTCACTTAATTGTAGAGTCATATTTGTTGAAATTACATTTTATTTATTTTGTTTGCAGTCATGGTCCTACGCAGTATGGCAAAATTAGTACTTTCCCCAGCTTTTCGATAACAGTATATCACAATTTAAGCGCAACCAATTATCGAAAACAATGAATTCAAATTAAATGTTAGTCCGTTTGCAAGCTGTTTACATAATGTTCCACTTTGAGTGCCATCTGCTGGCGCTCCTGCTCACTGGCAAATGAGTGCTTCACTGCCTCCAGGGTCAGGTCAATGCACTGGTCCCGCGTCACATTAAATGTTTCCACCACCAGCAAAAACTCATTTGTCAGCGACGTGTCGAACACGCCGCTGTCATCTGTGCATACGACTCTGGGGGCATCAGATTCCATTAGCCGCTTCAGATGATGCTCCTCGAAGCTGGAAACAGAGCCCGACTTGACATTGCTCGTGAGGCAGCACTCAATCGGGATGTTTGCCGCCTTCATTTGGGCAAAATCTTCTTCGGTCAAGTAGGTCCCATGTCCACAGCGCGACATACCAAAGGATAGCATCTCCTTGATCTCCGGGGGATTGTCGATTTCCGCACAATGGATGACAAGCTTCAACCCCTCCCTGCGTGCCAAGTCCAGCACACCACAGAAGTCAGTGAATTTCCCTTTGGTTGGGATCCCGCTCAGATCAATGCCCACCACCAGGTCTGGATCGGTTTTTGCAAGCTCCAGAGCCAACGCCACAGTCTCTTCGGCCACCGCCACAGGCTCGGATCGATTGATAGACGGCAAAAGCTTCACCAGAATGTTGGGGTATTTTTTGCGGCTCCTTTTGATCGTGTCTAGCACAATGCGCAGATAGTCGCGACGCAGGTAGTTTTTGTTGGCCTTAGGCGTGGTGCGCAGCTCCAGATACTGAATGTTATCATTGGCAAAGTCGCGTATGACCAGCTCCGTAGCATACTGCAGTCCCGCGGCTGTTGAGGTCAGCTCATGCACAAAGGCAAACTTTTCGAAGCATTTGTCCAGATTTGAATCCTTTTCAAAATTAACAAAGCGCGCACACAGATGCGAGAACTCCTCCGAGGTGTTGCCATAAACCTTCTCGGCCAGATCCCGCAGGCTATTGGTGTTTAGTGAACCATTCAGGTGTGCGTGTAGTTCCACTTTGGGCATTTCTTTCAAAAACTTCCACATTTTGCAATAACAATGGAAAATAAACGTAGGTTGGATGCTCACATTGATGGCGCGCTATGACAAAATTGGTGCTTTATCGAAAACAGCTGCGCAAATATTCGATAGATATTTTTTGACGTGGCCTGGTAACCCTAGGAGGGAAAACTGCAAAAATATAGATTTTTCCTTTTTGGTAATTTTGCGTGTTTGCGGATTCTGACCATGTCCGAAGCCCACTTGGAAGCTCCACCGTCCGTGCGTCTCACCAACGATGACTTCCGTAAGCTGCTGGCTACGCCACGGGCCCCGCCTCCCGGATCCAGCACGGGAAGTGCGGGAGGCTCCTTGGCCACAGCTACCTTTGCCACGCCCTCAGTGGCGGGCGACAAGAAGAAAACACAAAGCAGCAGCGAGCGAAACGACCTGAGGCGGAAAAAGAAGAACTTCTATGCGGCCCTCAAGAAGCAGGAGGATGTCAAGTTGCTGGAGTTGTCGGAGAAATACAGGGACCGGGCGCGCGAGCGTCGTGACAATGCCAATCCGGACTACACGACCGCCAGCACACCCGGCCATGGAGGGAGTACCAATGCCTACCGTGCCGTAGCCCCCGACATGAAATCGGGTATCGATGCCGCCGAGCGGAGACGCCGCATCATCCAGGAGTCCAAGTTCTTGGGCGGTGATATACAGCATACTCACTTGGTGAAGGGTCTCGACTACGCCCTGCTGCAGAAAGTGCGCTCCGAGCTTCACTCAAAGGAAACCGAGGAGGAGGAAATCGCTGCCGCCTTGGCCAGGGAGAAATTGGCGGAGGCAGCCGCTGCCGCCGAGCAGCTGGAGGCGGAGCGCAGGGAGTCGGAGGACATAAACGCCATCAATGGCTCGTTGGCGCGCAACATCTACAATCTCGTGCAGGCGCGTCGCTCCAAGGAGGTGCCCCGAAACGAGCTCTTTGCGCCCGGTCGTATGGCCTATGTCATCGATCTGGACGACGAGCTGGGCGAGACGGATATACCCACAACGCTGAAGCGATCCAAGTTCGAGGTGCCGGCGTCGCGAGAGGACATTGCCACGCTCACCACCAACGACATTGTAATCAACAAGCTGTCCCAGATCCTCAGTTACCTGCGAGCCGGCGGTCGCAACAAGAAGAACAAGAAGCGTGACAAGGACAAGCCCCTCTTCTACGAGAAAGATATGGAGAGCGTGCGCACCCAACCGGGCATCAGCAGTGCAGGTGCCAGTGCCAACCCAAAGGGAGGCAAGCCCGCTGCTCCTCTGGGGGACAGCATCTATGACGATGTGGGTGACTATCAGCCGACAGCCAAGTCTCGTGGGGATCGGCACGCCCGCCCTGGCGGTCCGGACGCAGCCAGCAAGCCTGCTGCCGGACAGAACTCGTACTTTGGCGATGCCCCGCCGGAGGCCGTGGAACCGGTCATAACCAGCATACCGCCACCCCCGAAGATATCCAAGGCAATGGCCTCGCGATTCGCAAACGAACCAGAAGGCTATGCCGAGTGCTATCCGGGCCTGGAGGAGATGAACGACGCCATCGACGACTCGGACGATGAGGTGGACTACACGAAGATGGATCTGGGCAACAAGAAGGGTCCTATCGGCCGCTGGGACTTTGACACGCAGGAGGAGTACTCTGACTACATGAGCACCAAGGAGGCCTTGCCCAAGGCTGCCTTCCAGTATGGCGTCAAGATGCAGGATGGCCGCAAGACGCGCAAAAACAAGACGGAAAAGAACGAGAAGGCTGAACTGGATCGGGAGTGGCAGAAGATTCAGGTGCGGCTTTGCTTGGACATCCCCCAATGGCAATTCCTTGTAACTTTATATTTTGTTCATATTTCAGACCATCATACAAAAGCGTAAAATGCCCAAAGACCGAGATGGTGGTGGCGGTGGCGGACGCGACGGAGGCGATGAACCCGAATACAAATCGGCCAAGTACTAGGAGATTGCTGGAAGCTGCGAACTTTTTCGGCTCCACTTTTACAAATACGATAGATCCGTTGTTTGATTCCAATTTTGGATAATTCTAAATGGCATGCGATGCCAGTCGAACAGAGATACGATTGATAATTCTTGAAACATTATTCTATATTTTTAATATAATGCTGTAAAACTTTAAAGATAAGTATGTGTGTGTGTTTTTTTAGCCACAGTTTTATCACTAATTTAACTGCTACGGGGAGGCGGATTGGGATTTGGGTATCATTGGCAGGGCAGAAAGGACTTATCCACTATGTGCGATATTAGCGCTTGAAAAGAGGGACGCGAAAATACGACAAATCGTTTGGAATCGGTTGGCATCAACGTGAATAAGGCAGATATACGTATATGTACGTATATGGAGAACGGGACTAAATCAATTGCTTTCACTCTTAAGCAGTGCCTCCACAGCAGGGCATTCGATGATAATTCGGGTGTGGACAGCCAATCAGATAGAAACATTTATATTCCATGTAGGATGGACCCCATCTTTATGTGTAGTTCTGAAACGTAGTAGGACCCCCTCTCTCTCCAACTCCCTCTCTCTACTTTCTAAGCTAGACAAAGCCGTGTGTGCTGTTCTCTTGCTTGCTCTAGATCTAGTTCTAGACATGCCTTAATTATATGACACTGATTAAATGTATTTACCGTCATGGGGGAATGCTAATATTAATCACTACGCTATGTCAAAACTGTGAGTTGTGTGTGGGTGTGCGTTCGATCGGAAACTGAGAGGAGGATTGATTGGTCTACTGATCGTTGGGAATACATACGGAATACGTATATAGGAAACGAGAGTGTAAAGGAGAAGAGGCTGTAAGCAAACGTACGAGAGAACTCTGATCCCCCGGAACCTGCTGACTAGCTTGCACATATTCGGGTACATACATATATCGTAGTATCTATATAATAAATACATTATGCAAAAGGGCACGCTCGCGGCTCTCTTTGGCATTCCCTTTTGTGGCGTGTCGGGAGTGTGGAAGATGAGGATCGGGAAGTGGGGATCTAGTGCAGGGTCTAATGTGTATATTTGTATATATATCTAATGTATAACATTAAATTGTAGGTTTTTTGGGCTGTCTTATTCCTATGTTTCTATATTTCCTGTCCCTGCGAGTCCTTTTAGTCATGCCAACTGCTGCCGAGGGACACAGACCGCACAGAGGTCGAGAGCCGCCTGCTCTCCACCAGCTTCACATCCTTCACACACAGATCGTGCTTGGAGTTGCTCGCAAAGCGTATCACCGACTGTGTGCTCACCTGGGGCACATGTCGCAAATCCAGCCAGATGAGGCTCTCGCACTTGGACAAATGTTCCAGCGCGTTCTCGGAGACGAGGCGGCAGGCGCTCAGATTGAGCTCCGACAGGCGGGCAATGGCCGTGTTGGAGGTGCCTATCTGGGCCACGCCGGCGTCGGTGATGCGCTGGCAGGAGGAGAGATCCAGGTGCTTGAGATATGGCAGCGACTGCGTGATGTAGCGCACGGCCACGTCTGAGATGTCTGTGCCGGCCAGCTTGAGGATCTTGAGATCACGCAGTCTCGTCTTCGAGTCACTTAGGCCGGGCCGCGAGTCCTTAGGCGGGGAGAGTATGTCCCGGACGGCGGCATCGTTCAGACCCCGCACAAAGCTCAGGTCGAGCGTCTGGAGGGGCGGACATAGGCAGGTGTGGAGGGCCAGCACTGCCTGGATGGGACAGTTCTGCAGCGAGAGATTCTTGAGAGCTGGGAGGCGGGCAACCAGCCATGCCAGCTGCCGCTTGGCTATCTGCGTCCAGTCAAGGATGAGGTGTTCCGGCTGCCTCCGCACAATGGCCGTCAGCAGGGACGCGGACATCTTGTGCGCCGAGCAGTTCATGCTCTTCCATAGATCGGGATCGACGGCAGCCGTCGACCACACCTTGCACACCGAGCAGCAGGTGACTAGAGTTTCGGGCGGCAGATACCTGAAGATGATCTTCAGCACGGTGGGGTCCAGGGCCAGGGAGCTGCTATGATGCAGACTGTTGATGCCATTGGAGCCGCTCGTGCCGCTGCCATTGGCACCGCGCTCCCCGCCAGAGCCGACGCCTCCCCCGCCGCTTTGGCCTGTTCCATTGCTAATGCCATTGCTGCCGCCTCCTCCGCCGCTGGCATTGTTCCCGGACGAACTGCTGGATGCTGCCGGCCGTACCACAAACTGCGGCTTCTTGAGCACTCGATTCGAGTTGTTGAGCATCTGCTGGGCCAACTGTGACCGTATCGAGTTCTTCTTACGAGAGCCACCTCCGCCTCCGCCGCCACTGCCGCCACTCCACTGATTGCCACCACTGCCCCCGCCACTAGCTGTCGCCACTCCTCCTCCTCCGCCTGCCGCTGCACCATCAATGGATGAGTTGCATGGGGCATCGTTGCTCTCTTGCATGCTGCTGCTCACGCTCGTCCCATCGTCGCTCTTGCGCCGCTTCACCTTGTCCCCCCCCACCGCATTCGGTGATATCCCCGGGGAGGGAGTGTCGCAGCTGTTGTTCCGATCGGTCTTCACCTCCAGCTGATGGTGCCGCTTCATGCCATGCTTCCAGTGGGTCACATGGCCACCCGCCGATCCAGACTCCATCTCCGATTCGCTGGTGAACACGAAGTCCGTATACTGTCCGACGGGTGGCGGCAGCAAGCTGCTCGTGCCCTCATGGCCTGTTGGTTCGCCGCCAGGGCCATGGGAAACGGAGACGCGACGCACCTCGGAGGATTTCAGACGAGCCCGGAAATGCCGCGGCTGTGGGGAACGAATAGGAGATTGACATTAGTTTTGCTTAAGGAAACGCTCAAATATATGTACGTTACCTTGTAGTCATAGTTCTTGCCGGATCGACAGCAGCTGGGACACTCCCAGCTATTGGGCAGATCCTCGTTGACTATGCCCTTAGCATCGGCTGCATCCTCGGTGCCGTCTAGCTGCGACAACGCACAATCGGGATGGGCTATCTCGTAGCAAACGGAGCACTCCATCAGAGCTGAGGGACCGTCCACGGTGGCTAGTTGCTTGGTCTGCGGCGACACGGGGGTCTGTCGCCATCCATCCAAATGACAGTAGACACACTGCGCGGTCACTGGAAGCATGGGCGACAGGCACTGGCGCATCATGCACGTCTGCTTGGCCCGTCCCGGTCCACCGAACTTGACCATGTCCATGCAGAAGGGGCAGGTGCCGCAATCGGAGCGCTGACAGGCGGCACAGTTCTTGCAGCGCGTGCGGCGTCGCCTCGGCTGCCCGGTGCCCGTCAGATGGGGCGATAGCTTGGCCCCATCCCCGGGCGAGGCACAGTTGTTGTCCAGGGATGCCGCCTCACTGCTGTTCAAATTATTATAATTGGAGCACGTGGCAATCACACTGATGGCATTGCCTGTGACTGCCCCTCCCCCACCCCCAGTGGGTAGACTGTTGTTGTTTGCTGCAGTTCCTCCAGCGGATGGTCCTCCTCCTGCTCCACTGGTGGTGCTGGTGCTGGTCGCTGCCGCTGCCACTGCATTTGCCAGATGCATTTTCTTGGGCGGGCGGTACTTTAGTGTATCCGTGGGCAGGACAAAGGTGGCCTCTGCTAAAAACAGGAGATAGTAATGTGAGCCACAAGGAATATCGTGATCGAGAACCCACCTGGTTGTGCTGGTCCGCCCTGGCCAGTGGCTCCTGCGCCATTCTCCAGTTGCTCCTTTTTCAGGACTCCGTTGCTGTACTCAATGCCAGCTACAACGGCACCGGAGGCAGCCACTGCGCCATCCCTGCCCGCCTCCAGCTGCTGCTGTTCGCGGATTACCTCGGCATTTTTTCGGACAATCTCCTGTTTGATCTCCTGCTTGACCCTTGTGCGGTCGTACAGGTGAAAGCCTGCCTGCTCCTCGGAGGCCGTTCTCAGCACGGACATGCCCGTGACGGCCTGATCCTGCTGGTCCTTGCAGTGCCGCTCCACCAGTGTGCGCACATCCTTGATGAGGGCCACGGGATCGAGCACAAGACTGGGCACATTCTTCTTCTGCGGCGGCAGATCGTACAGATACATGACGATCTCCTTGAGCCCGAACAGCTCGTAGTGCGTGAGATGGATGTGCGGGCGAGCGGCCATCTCTGCCTCGCTGGCCGACGGCTCCCCCTCGAGGTGCGAGTGGCCGAGCAGCGTGTAGACATAGCGAGCGAGGACATACCAGAGCATTTCGGTGAAGAAGGGGTAGCGAAACTTCTGCGGCACCTTTGTAATGTCCTCGACGGTGGCCGTCCTCAGCTGCTTCACGATACCGAACGAGTGCAGGAAGTTGCCCCCAAAGACCAGCGACTGGGTGGGTGTGTAGACGGCATGGATCCAGCCGGTGGGTATGAAGAAGGTGTTCCCGGCCGTCAGATAGACGCGGGCGCACTTCTCCACGGTGTCGCCGAAGAAGATGTCCGCCTGCTTGCCGGACAGCACCCACTTCTCGTAGAGCTGCAGGTTGCGATCGGTGGGCGGTATCAGCCAGAAGACCTTGCTGCCCTTGAGGATGTGATACCAGACGGAGGTGCCGCCAAAGTCAATGTGAAAGTCAGTGTAGCAGTTCTTCACCGACATCAGGCAGTACTTCTGCACCTTGGGGTACATCATGCCGCCGAGCAGATTGGTGCCCTCCTTCTGGGCATCCTTCAGCTGTTTGGGCCATACTACATCCACCCAGTCGATCTGGCGCACAATCTCTGGGCTCTGCACAAAGCGATCCAGTCGCGTGTGCGAGAACTCCAGCGAAATCACGTTCAGCAATCGATCCTTTTGCGGGCACTCGTAGTACTGCTGCCACTCCTTCATCGTCATCTGGAGGTTCTTCTGTGTGTTCACATCCATCACGTCCAGCAGACGACGCGATCCCACGCACAGCCGCACATCGCCCACGGTAAACTCTTGCGGATCGGGCATGCGGAGACCCAACCCGTTCTTTTCTCTAAAGAGTAAGGGTATGTTGAAGCCATGTTGCTGTAGGAATCTGAAAAGGGGTTTTGGGGGAGGGTGAAGAATGGAAAATTAGCTTACTCTGTGCTGCCGCCGCCTATTCGCTTTGCTATTCGTTAATTTCTGTATCACATAACGTTCAATCTCCCTCGTTTGCTTTCGCTAAGTACGGCTGATCGATGATCAAGCCGTAA